CAGCATATTTCCCAGCTATGTTGACTTGCGGGTTCAGTTTGTTGGCCAGCTTGGTGCGTGCGCTCGCGCCAGTCAGTCCAATGTAATACTGGGGGACTGCTGGCAGAGGTGCCAAAATAAGACTTCCAGATATTTCCAGACGCTTGGCCATTAATGACATGCTACTCATGGCGTATCATGGCATTCCGGATTCCAGGCTTTGCTGTTCTTATGATGTTCTTATTCGTTCCTCCAGCGAGCCCATGCGCGCCCGAAGAAATCCAACACGCAAAGCGCATTTTGTGGCGATTTCTGGAAGTGGGCTGAAGCACTCCAGTATACGCCAGTGCTTCAGGCTGGCATATGATTCTTTTGTGTGTGACATTGTGTGACTGTGGGCGCAAGTCCTATTCAGTCCTGGTCGCTGAACATCCCCGTAGGGATGCGGAGCGTGTGACATGTCAAAGGAGTGCCGCGTAATAGCCAGTCAATGCCAGTCATGTTGGGCATTACTGAATATTGCATTATTTGCATGAGTATTGCTATGAGTGGCTGAGTATTGCTGAGCAGTGGCTCCAAGGGGGACAGGATGGGAAAGGTGCCGTTCTTGATATTTCTTGATCATCATGGTGCTGTCGTGCCTTGCGCGGGGGCGCAAGCGCGTCGAGCCGGCGGGGCAGGTCCGGGGCAGTCAGTCCATAGGTCAGTCCGGGGCGAGGTCGCGCAGCTCTGCAGCCAAGTGGTGGCAGTCCATGGCCCCCAAGAAGCGGCTTCTCAGCAAAATGCCCGAGCCGCACGTGGGGCAGCCGCTGGTGGTCAAGCAGCCGGCCGTGGTCACCCGCCCCTCCAAGGCCAGACGATCCAACAAATGACCAAGACATATCAAAACAAGTTTCGGCAAAGACTGGTAAGATCTGGTAGTAGAGGGGTGATGTATGTTGAAGCGGTGGTAGGTTGATTGAAGTTCTGAGTTTTCCTGAGTGTTGGCTTTCAGCCATTTTCAACATTTTTCAACATAGATATTCCGGATGTTTCATGCGCGCAATGCAGCATTCGCCATGCCACCCGCACATGGCCACACCATGATGCGCCACATTATTATTTCCCACCAGCCGTTTTGGAGCGTTTTGGATATGTTTACTATTGTTTCCGGAATCTTGGCTCTGAGTATCTTTGAGTGACGCAGGTTCAGGTCCGGCTCAGGCTCACACATGCTCACACCAATTCACATCATGTTCGCGCCCGTGCTTTGCAAGGAGCTAAAGATGAAGCCGCGCCGTGCGGCGCCGGCAGTCATCCTCAAGACCGGCGCGGATCTTCGGGCCGAGCTGCAGTCCCACCAGTCCGGCGTGTTCCTCGATCTCTTTTGCGGGACTGGGCGCGTGGGCACAGCCTGGACATTGTCCGGGGCTACGACCTCACAGACCCAGACCTGTCGTCAGTCATCTGCCAGCTCATTTTGGACGGGCGCGCGCGGCTAGCCTGCAATTATAGCCAGATTGCAAACTCTGGAACCGCTGTGGTCTTGCATTTGCAACCAAGTGCCACTCGGCAGTTTCGATGTTTGATTCATGTTGGTTTCATTTTGGCTCCATCATGCCCCAGTGTCCCATCTCGGACGATGTTTGCTGCGCCTGCTTCGAGTACTCAACTTTGTTGAGATGGGTTGATTGAGTTATGCTGAGTTGTGCTCTGAGTCAGCTAGCGCAAGTTTGCTGTAGATATGCTGTAGATTGCGGGGTTCAGCTGACATTTTCAATTCTTGTTGAAGTCAGCTTGAGTGCCGGAAGATTATCGGAGCTTGTCCGGCCGAGGTCCGGCCTGATGATGGCGCCGCCGTGCTCGACATTCAGCCGGGCTAGACGAGGTCGCCGCGGGAAGGGCTCAAAGCGAGGCTGGCCGCGTCCTTGGGGGCTTCCCGCCCGCGACCTCACAAAGACATCTGCAAGATCTTCCAAGCGCTCCCAAGTGCTCCCAACATCCCTGCTATTCCCATGCTGTTCCCTGCTAGCCCTCCGAGATCCTCTGAGCGTCTCTGAATATCTCTGAGCATAGAAGGATTTCGCTGCACGTTTACGCTGCTGTGGCTTTGACATGTTTTGACATGTTTTTTTCGCACGATAAGCATGCTGTCACCGAGGTCAAAGAGCCAGCTGCCAAGGTCCTGTACTTCACCGAGGAGACGTTCCAGGCAGCAAAGACGCGCTCCAGTGCCATCCGCCAGTATGTGCAGGTGCTGCGAGGTTTCTATGAAAAAGACCACGGCCCCCTGGACCTGAGTCGCGTTTCTGGCAGTCCAACTTGGGACCAGCTTCTCGCAAAGGCCCCTGGGTTTTTTCAGCAGCGGCATCACGCGCTCACCGTCAGTATGGCCAGTCATGTCAGCCACAGCAAGGCGACGTTCGGGCCGTGGGTGTCAACTGAATTCCAAAAATGCCTGGCCCAGCCAAAGGCTTTCATGCGCCTCCTGCGTGATATCGCCAAGAGCGCAGTTATTGCGCTGCCAGCCAGCTGATGCAGC